GAACAGTAAATGTGGGACGGAGGGTGTAGTTTCGAGACAACGGCTCCAAACACTACCTTTATGGTAGGAAACCTTTGAGCAATCGTAACGTAGGCAGACCCGTAACAGGTGTATTTGTAAAATGAGGAGTTGACGCTCTGTTATCTTGCAGTGGTAACACCCGTGCAGATAAACAAAACAAGACGTATGCGGATGCAGGCCTTTTTCCCCTCCAATTGCTGCGTTTAATGTGCAGTGTTTCCCCACTGCTTTAATACATTTTTAAAAATTGTGAAACTATAGTTTTGTAATAAAATTAATAATAACATACCAACAACAAATACCCATGACATAAATATACTAAGCAATTACAAAAATATTTATGATTATGCACATGTAGTTTAGAATTTGCTCCCAAACACCGTGGAACTAAATTTTTCATTAAATTTGAAGACAGTACGGAAAAAAGACTGATTAATGAAAATACGATGTTAAAAAATTTTGAATTCACCGTCACAAAACATGAATTGGTGGGCAATACCAAAAAGCAGGGTACTTTAATCATATAATGAAGCAAAGTCATAAATTTGAAGGCAAAGTTTTCATTAATAAAAATGCCAGCTCTTCACCGCTTTGTTATCAGGCGTCCGATGTATGAGGAAAGTGGCAATAATTAATGTGGTAATTTATTCGGTTTATATAAGTTTTAAAATTCTTTTTGAGTTTCGACAAAAAAAAATGAAAAATGTGTAAGACAAAGCACAAAAGTCAATTTGATTGGTGTGTTAGGGGAAAGAATAGCAGATATGTAATGTACATGTATTTGACGTTCAAAATACTGCAGTGATGTTTGTGAAAAACACCGTAAAAAACATGTAATTAAAATGGAACCAATTTTGATTATTTAAAATACCCAATATGTGAATGTGTTTTAACTGATATCCATTGATATGCTAAAGCATCGTTATCCCACGAAATACCAGCACCTTAACACCCATTTTTTCCATAAACAAATTTATAGATGACATAAAATAAAACTATACCCATTTTCCAATAAATGGGTATTTCTTTGAAATACCCAGTGTATTATTGAAAAACGGTTTTATTTCTATTTCATCCAATTAATAAATTGTTTATGGGAAAATGGATAGTATGTTGTTGTAATAGATAAAGCCATAAAGAGGTGAGGTTGTATTCGAAAACAAGTACATTAAAATTTAATCGGGTTAAAGAAGTTGTATTCGGAATAATGGGTTTTAAAGAGATGAAATTTGATGAAAAAATGATACTTTACGATATGAATGAATAACAGTTGAAACACATTCACAGACTTGGTATTTCAAATCACAGTATTCATTATTTAAAATACCAAATTTGGGAAAGTATTTGAACTGTTATCCAATGGTTTCGTAAAATAATATTTTTGGTGAAATAGCAGTTCTTGAACAGCTCTTTTGCCACAAACAAAATAATGTATCGGAATAAAAAATCCGTCATCCAATAAAACACCAGCTCTTTATGGCTTTTATGTATTACAAGAACAGAGTACCCATTTTCCCATAAAACAGCAGCTTTTTATGGCTTTTATCTATTACAAGAACAGAGTATCCATTTTGTTACATAAAAAAAGTTATTTAATGGATGAAATAAAAAAAACCCATTTTGTAAGACAAAGAACAAAAGTCAATTTGATTGGTGTGTTAGGGGAAAGAATATCAGATATGTAATGTACCTGTATTTGACGTTCAAAATACTGCAGTGATGTTTGTGAAAAACACCGTAAAAAACATGTAATTATAATGGAACCAATTTTGATTATTTAAAATACCCAATATGTGAATGTGTTTTAACTGATATCCATTGATATGCTAAAGCATCGTTATCCCACGAAATACCAGCACCTTAACACCCATTTTTTCCATAAACAAATTTATTGATGACATAAAATAAAACTATACCCATTTTCCAATAAATGGGTATTTCTTTGAAATACCTAGTGTATTATTGGAAAACGGTTTTACTTCTATTTTATCCAATAAATAAATTTGTTTATGGGAAAATGGATAGTATGTTGTTGTAATAGATAAAGCCATAAAGAGGTGGGGTTGTATTCGAAAACAAGTACATTAAAATATAATCGGGTTAAAGAAGTTGTATTCGGAATAATGGGTTTTAAAGAGATGAAATTTGATGAAAAAATGATACTTTACGATATGAATGAATAACAGTTGAAACACATTCACAGACTTGGTATTTCAAATCACAGTATTCATTATTTAAAATACCAAATTTGGGAAAGTATTTGAACTGTTATCCAATGGTTTCGTAAAATAATATTTTTGGTGAAATAGCAGTTCTTGAACAGCTCTTTTGTCTATTATATGAACCTGGAACGACATTTTGAAATAGCGTTTGTCTATTATATGAACCTGGAACGACATTTTGTTTCGCATGATTTTTTTTGCATACATATTTCCGCTGTATATGATTTTGTTTTCCATACATATTATAAGTGTATATTAGTATAAATGTATAAATTAATATATATATTAATATTATGTAGCAATGTATTTGTATAATTAGTATAAATGTATATACGTGTTAATATTATGTATAAATGTATAATTAATATTATGTATATTAATATAAATGTATAAATGTATATAATACATAATATAAATGTACATTTACATGTATAAGTGTATATTATTAAAAACATATAAATTATAAATCAATATTATAAAAATGTATAAATTAATATATTATAAATATATATTAATATTATGTACAAATGTATTAATATAATTAATATAAATGTATACATGCATTAATATTATGTATAAAGGTAAAATTAATATTTTGTATATTAATGTAAATGTATAAATGTATTATATTAGATATTATACATAATATAAATGTCTATTATAAATATACATAAATATTTATATATTATGTATAAATGTACATTTATATAAATGTGTAATATATTATATATTATATTATCTAATATTTATGCAAATATATTATAAATATATAAAAATATACTACAAATAAAATAAAAAATTTGTAATCTGTATGTATAAATATATAATATTACAAATGTATAAAATATATAATACACATTAATATTGAATTTAATTTATGCATAATATACATATTAATATATATTATGAAACAAATTTTAGTAAATATATTTATTAATTTATATATAAATAAATGTATTTCTATAAATATATATTATTTATTTCAATTCATATAATATATATAATATTATACATAATTGAACTAAATATATTCACATTGATATAATATATATAATATACATAGTTGAAATATACCTATTCAAATACATCATTGAAATATACAAATTGAAATATATTAAAATATAATTCAAATATACATATTAAAATACATAATTCAAATTTAGAAATTTAAATATACTTACTACAATTCACAAAATTTATTGCACGAATGCCGTAAATACAGGGTGTTTTATTGCAAACCTGATTAAAATTTTGTTCCCGTAAACAAAATTTTCCACCCCTACAACGGGTACTCAGTTCTTATAAGCTATAAACAGTTACTGTTTTATTCGAAATCGGTTTATTTTACTTTCTCCGCCACATACATTTTCAAATGGAAAACGGGGTTCTCTGTTCCTATAATGGAGCAAAGTCGTAAAAAGCTAGTGTTCGACTGAACACCGGTGTTAATTTTTTTTTTATCCGATAAATAAATTGTGTTATGCAAAAAAAATTAAAAGGCTACTCTATTCTTATAATGCTGGATAAGCCATAAAAAGCTAGTGTTTTACGACAAAATGGATTTATTATATTTTTATCCCAAAAACAATATGGTATGTCGAAACACGGACACTGTGTTCCATTAACGGACGAAAGCCATCAACAGCTACTGTTTTATTGAAAAACAGGCTGGTTTTTTTTTCCGGATAAATAACCAGCCGTTATGCAAACAGAGCGTACTCTGTTCTTATACTAGTGCAAAGCCATAAAGAGATGGTGTTTTACGACAAAATGGAATTATTTCATTTAATTTCCTAAATAAAGCGGTTTATGCAAATACGGGTACTTTGTTCGTATTACGGAAGAAAGCCGTCAATAGCTGCTGTGTTATTGCAAACGGGTTTTTTTTTTCATTTTATCCAAAACCTACTTTTTTAATGCAAAAATTGGGTACTTTGTTCCTATAATGCGGGAAAGCCATAAAGAGCAAGTGTTTTATTGTAAAACCGGTTTATTTTGCTTAATCCACCATTTACATTTTTTAAACGTCCAAAAGCGGTTTTAGAGATGAGGTGTTTCATGCAAACTTGGTACTTTACCATGCCAATGGATAACATTTCAAACACAATCAAAGGTTTGGTATTTTAATTAACAAACATTCGGTTCCGCTTGGCTTACATACTTTTCTGGGTACTTTTCAAAAACAGCACTCTAGTCCTTCGATCGTGAAATACAAGCCCTGTACATTTCGGCATTTCCTTTCCCTTTTACACAAATCCTTTTGACTTAAGTGCTTTCCAATCACTAATTTTCATTAATATGTTTACATTGCAACAAACAATTTAATTCCGCATAAATTGCAAAAAATTAGTATCTCAACTATTGGGACTTTGCTGATTCTTTGGAGGTCTGATAACAAAGCCGTTGAGAGCTGGTATTTTTATTACCGACACCTTTTTTCCGTAAATGGACTGCTTTCTATGATTTTCCTTTACTAAATGTCAAAGTACCGCCATTTAACCACCATAAATATATCTCTTTGTTCAGAACTTTAAACAATAATGCTATTAACCTGTATCTTTCCCTTTCAGACCAAGTTTTTTGACTTGTCCATTTTTTCTGCGGCGCGGACAAAATTCTTCGGTTACTTTCCTATAAAACTTTTACACAAAAAATTTATATATGCATAAATTTTTTGTGTAAAAAAACTAATTTATTCACATACGATCGACTATTTATCCAAGTATATTAAAACTCCACACTAAGTAACGTACTCAATTTTAATCATGAATACAACACTTTTCTGTTATTTCAAATAACAAAAAAAAACTGCTTCGCATAAGTTTTTTTTCATAACTGCTGTGCGCTAATCATTCTTTCTTTCTTCAAATTTCTGAACCTTCTTTACGCACATTTTTTGTCCAAGGCATTTGCAGCATTTTTGCTGCAGTAAAGGGTACATTTGCAAATACAATAAATGCCTCTCATTCTAACCTGTAATAAGACATCTTGTCCCAACCCAGGACGATAGTACGGAACTCTGTGTGCTTTGTTTGCTTCATTCCGCACGCTGTCTGCTTCATTTCCTCTCCACGCGCTCACCATCACTGTAACGTCTCCGTTTGGACCGTTTTGCCCCCAACACGTGTCGCTCCCTGCCACCATTCCTACCATAGGCAGGTTCCCACCATAAAGGTATCCAATTAATTAGTACCTACTTCCTTGAACCTGCAATTAGAGATGGAAAAAGTTATGAATCATAAGATACACTATAACACCTCGGTAGGATAACCAAATTGCAATATTGGCGAAGGCTTCCAATGTCTTTTGACTCTTACCGATAGTTCAGATGTGATTGCCAAATGGGATTGTCCTGCTTACCTCAAGTCCAACCAGAGATCTGCAGTAATTGGTGTTAGTCAGCATCGTACTGGTGGATCCACACTCGCTGTCTTTGAGGGAAATAGATGATCTGTCAAGCTTTATTGACCAAGGATATTGATAATTCTGAGCAGCAGAACCAACATGTGACGATGATCTCTGCATTCTGACAGCCCTTGGTACATTTCTTCCTTCAATTGATGGCCTACGCCTGCTTGGTTGTCTCTCAAATGATTCAGGCCGTTGCTTGGGTGCGCTATGTGATCGCACTTTAGCCCTTGAAGATTCTGTATTGGCCATGTAACTTGGATAGAATGGATACTCGTTATACAATGAATCTCCATATTCTGATCGTGCATAAGAAAATGCACCTTTTGAAGGGTCAGGTTTCGATATAGCAGAGCAGTACTGAGGGCTGCTTTGTGCTGTACCCAAGGAGTATTCCTCAAAATGACCACTACATGCTCTTGGACTCAGATCAGTTATAGCTGATGGTGATGGTGTGATCTGTTCTTGGTTTGAATAAGCTCTATGAGTCGAAATCCTATGATCCGTTCTTTCTGTCTGCCCATTGTTTGAATAACTATTCCTACTTTTTGTGCTTCCCTTTGAGTCACCAATATCCATCTCCACAATTTTTATGTTCTCTTCCATTCCTTTTTCAAAATCCTGCAAGTGTATATTGGCAGATTAGATTTTTCTTTCAAAATTCAGTAGACAAACTTCAAGAAGGTGAATGTGATCTCTGTACTACAAATGTTTATGTTCCTTCTGGTTCCAATGTTTTATAATTCCCACTTGTCACATTACCAGTGTATTTTCAAGAAAATAACATGTATTGGAATACAAATAGTTTTGTTGATGTAAATGCCATTCCAGACTTCCAGTCCACTCATTTGAATTTGTTAATGCAGATGAATCTGACAGATATTTATAAATGACATGATTGGTGGATCACAGGTGAATTGGAGACTTACTTGATATGATTGACTGAATCTATTTTCCTGCGTGGATTTTCTATGATGAAATTGCTTCAGATTGTTGGGTTTTGATTCCTGAGCCATTTGGATCCTTTGAGCTCGAGCTCTAGCCTGAACAGTGACCAAAGCTTGCATGCACCTGAGGGTAGCCGTTGCCTGTTTTCTCACCAAATGTCCCCTCGCCAATGCTTGCAACTTCACCAATCCTTTCAATGCATTTAAAGCTTTTCTTGCCTGGAAAAAGAACACCAATGGAATATTTCAAAATCTTCAAATTTTGGACAACTAGAAAAGGAAAAGTAGAAAAAATGCAGGAACAAGTAACATAAGATTTTGCATACCAAATAAGCTCGAAAGACAGATTGAATCTTGATGGCTGCAGCCTCTTCAATTGCAGAGGTTCTCCCCGATGCCGCAGCAGTCAATTGAATCACAGCGGCAGCAACCTTTGCCGCTGCAGCTGCTGCATCAGCAGCTGCGGCCGTGGCAACTGCGACTGCCAAGGCATGTTTGTTCTGATCAGCGTCTGCTTCCAGGAATGCCTGTTGAGATGGTGGTGTTGTGGCCATCATATCCGTTGAATTGGAGTCCTTCTGGCCTGGTGCAGTGGCTGATGACCTTCGAAAACTCCATCTTCTCTTTTCTTTGGGAGTCGTCGGTGGGATTGTTATTGGTGTTGTCGGAATCTGTTCAGCGGAAATTGAAGGCGGCTGAAGATTGCCCGTATTCTTCACCTTCTCCTTGTCTTTCTCTCTCTCTTTATCCTTCTTTCCCGTTAAGAAGTTTCTTATCCACTTGCCAGTCTTCCCCATCTCTGTCACAATCTTCAAAACCACCATACAACTGAAGCCCAGACAGTGATATATGAAACTCCAAGGATTTAAGTCTATTCTTCTCTCTGCCTCTGCCTGTGCTGACTCCTGAATGATCAGTATCTATCACCAAAATGATGGCCTTTATTATTGGCAGTAGTATTTAATTGCTGCACGTTTTGACAGACTTGTTTTTCACTGTCACATATTGTCTTTGTTTCTCTGCATTGCTGTATCTTGTAACCACCACTCTTTCTTAATGTAATCAAACCATTAAGTTTTGTTTATTGTTAATAGAGTTTAGGTGGTTAATGATTCAAGAAAAGAAACAGTGAGGAATCCCCCTCCCCAAATGGATCCACTCTTGCTGTATCGGAATATATTCCTTACCTTGCCCCTTCATAGAGGTCTTCCTTTTTTGTGCCGAATACCAACTTAGACCATGGAAAAACTCTCCTTTTAATGACGTGAACTAGGGCAATTTTGAACTTTTACTTCCAAGTGTTATTGTTGGGAGGGTTATGGAGGATCAGAAGCCATGTGAAAATGTGTCATGGAACATGCAGAGCCCGTGTAATATACTCATGCAAGGGTGGAAGGATTTATCCCACTTGTCTTCAAGGGGTTTATGAATCCATTTTGGTCATGGGGTTCAGCTGTTTCAAATCCCATTGCAGGGTTTGAGGGCCCACAAATTAGGGTATGACCCTGTTGGGAGGGGTGCCCTGTTGGACCTGCACATGGTAATCCTCTCCTTACCTAGGCTTTTACTCTCCGCATCTCCTTTATTTCCAAGCTTTCATGATGCCAGGAAGGAAGGCTACCCCAATCCCAAGACTCTGGGGTTTGAAATATCAAATAAGTCATGTCACCCTCATTCTATCCATAATCTATCTCTTATTTTGTAATATCCCACATAGGGACGGAGAAGGCAAAGGGAATGGAATATAGCATCCGATCCATGGAATTAGTGATAATTTTAGATTAATCATTTTGAATTCATGATTTCAGTTCAAAAAGATATTGGTCTAGTTCGGCGGTGCGGGGCGTTGCTAATAGTACTAGAATGAATCTCGCATGATCTCTACACAAGATGAGTTTAGGACCAAATAATGTTATGGTTCTAACTGTACAAAAGAGTACAAGAAACATGCATAGGGCGAGGTTGTGATCAAGTGGTGTTATAGTTCACCTCTAAAACCCGTACGAACCAATTTTAGAATCTGCACACGATTAATTGGATAGTTTGACTTGGTATGGTTTACCTCTAAAATCCATACGAATCACTTTTAGAATCCATACATGATTAAGTGGATAGTCTGAATTATAACGGACTTTGCAAGGACGCAAAGTTTTAAAAGTGGGAAGAGTGTAATATCTCACGACTAAATGGACAGTTTGAATACAAAGTTCTAAAGGTAAGGAGAGTGTAATATCCCACGACTAGGTGGACAGTTTGAATTATAACGGATTTTGCAAGAACGCAAAGTTTTAAAACTAGGGAGAATATAATATCCCATATCCGGACGGAGAAGGGAAAGGGAATGTAATATAACGTTTAGCCTATCTGGTAATTGATAATTTTGGATTAACCATTTTAAACCCGTGGTTTCAGTTAAAAACGAAATTGGATCTGTCTGATGGGCACAAGGACCCTGATTCCAATTCCACGTTTATTTCAAAATTCTCCTGCTTGAGGTTTGGTAGAATTGGACAAACAACTTATCTAGTTTTGAAATTGTAGTAGTATCATTCTCTTCTGGATTTTTTTTTTTTTGGTCAAATTTTTCTCTTCTAGATCGATTGCTCCTTTTTTTTTTCTTCTTCTTCTTCTTCTTCTTCTTCTTCTTTTGTTGGATAGAAACATCTCGCTTCATGTTACTTCAATCGAGTCAAATCCCTATTAGAAAAATAGTATTAATACAGGAAACTATTTTATTAACCCACTTCACACTGTAACTGGATCAAATAAATCATCCAAATAAATTCTTATCAAATAAATCAAATAAATTCTTATCCAAACAGGAAAGTGCTACAGTAACTGGATCAAATAAATCATCCAAATAAATTCTTATCAAACAAACCCACTATCAACCATTTCACTTGAATACTGCGCTATTTCATTGACATCTCTCCTAACCAATTGAAATTTACATCCGTGAATGTTGTTCTAAAGTACTTTGGCATGCATCCCATTATGTCAAAGATAGTCATAAATCTCTTCTTTTCAACTAATGTCAACTAAATCTATTGAGAAATTTCAAGATAACTTTTAATCTTGCAAAAAGGGATAACGGAATTAGGATTCAAGTATAGAATTATTAGGAGCTAATAATGGAGACCAATTTAGTCTAAAATGTCAGACTCAAGTATTTTCGTTGTTGTGATGAGCTTCATTGGAGGTATGTACGATTAACTATTAATTTTTTTCCTTTATTGTGGGTGCACCATGTTCTTCTCATACCACACATACAACGTGTGGTGTTTCATATGTATATCCTTTTTGTTTTTTACTTCGTTTTTGTTCATATGTTCTTACGGCAAATTACTGAAAGATACACAAGGTCGTAGTCTTAGAAGCTCGAATAGCAGCAGGTCATCAGGGCACCGTGGATGATGACCAAGAGAAAATGGGGGAGCAGTTGGTGGAGAGACACCATAATAAATAGTATGAAGTTTAACTAGATGGCTTGTTGATCAGGTATCACCAAGGGATATAGCGTATCAGGACCCACAAAATGAAGTAGGTAGACCAATAATGACTAGGGAGACGGATAAACAGCAAATACATGCACACTAGATTTTTTATTTTTCCATTTTCGCATCTTAAAATTCTACCACCACTGTATTGTAAATACTGGTAAAATCCAAAGAATCTTGATTAAATTATCTTCAAGGATTCATTCTGTACTAATCTGCTTCTCTTTTCTTCATGGTTAGGACGGAAGGGCTAAGTATGGATGTTCCTTCTTAAAGAAACACATCTCTTGGAACAAATGGCATTTGATTTCATTCTTTCTTTCGGATAATTTTATAATACATACAGGCATAGAAAAGAAGTAGAGGGAGTAGAATCATAAAAATTTGTTTATTACAGATTAAGGTGTAAATACTGTTTGAATCCATGTTGGCCAACATGAATAATTGTCCCTGTTCTGTTGATCATCAAAGATTAGTTGGCAATCACATGCTCCCCCGCGACTAATCAAATCCCATTTCTACAAGGGAATAAATGAATGACTACTAAGTGCATTTTTTCTCCTTTTTTTGACAAGTAATTAGTGCTAGTTTAATTAAACGTAAAGTATTTGATACACTAGCAACCATGTTTGACATATAAACAGAGTTTAAATTTTTTTTTTAGATATTATTGTACATGCACCAAATAGTTTATCTCATTCGTGTAAGATAAACGACAAAATAATATGACACTCTATATAAGATTAATTCTTGATTAGATAAAACCATGTTATACCACATAGTAATGCTCGTGAGGTTGTTTAACAGAAAATTTATCTTGATCTGTGGAATTGTATTAAGACTAATAGTCTATTTACAGGGATACAAGTTTAGTAAAGTAACAAATTTCGATTGATTTACGAGCATAAAAATGTCCCATAACATAGCGTAGTAGTTAAACTAAATACGCTAGGAAGATCAAGAAGCTAAAACTTGGAACTCTTGGGGTAGGTTGAATTTCCACCCAACTAAATAATGCTCAAAGAACCATTACAAGCTCAGTGAAGTGTTTATAATTAAATAGCTGAAGTCTTTATTTTGTTTTTAGTTATTATCGCAGTTTAGAAGAAACCTTCCCAGTTATCGTCCTACACAAATAAGAGTCAGTGTTATCAGCTTTGGTAAATTTCCATGAACTGGTTCGTCTATTTTGGACCGAGAAAGTTCCATAAATTTGTGGCAAAGATGCTTTGCATGTATAGAAAAAGTGGACAAACCGTTGAAGTAAAATTTCAAGTCCAATAGTGTCGGTGTCTTCTTTGGGTGTGTAAAAAGTGCGAATTGTTAGATTGCTAAATCTCCTATATATGGTGGGGCGTCGCTATCTCTATTCTTATGCCCTTCCTTCTTGAGTCAGACCTCGTGTGAGTTCCAGTCCACATCCCTTGCAAAACATTCTGTACTCAGACAAAGAACTGATCTTGACAGTGTATATATAATCTCTGATATTTGTTAATTTAATGCTTGAATAGCATCATTAGTTGAGCGTTAAGATAAATTTAGGTGCAGAATCCAGATATATCAAGATGCAGTTAAAGTGGCTTAACTTGCTAACCCCAGGGTATTAAACAAATACAGCTGCATGTGGGTTTTTCATGGCTGGAGAGGATATATCTTATTTCTTCCTTTTTGTTTGTTTATGTGGACATCTTTCTTTTGTTGAAATGCACATGACTTGTTTCTTTGATTAGCATGATGATTCTGTCTCGTGTTCTTGGATGTATTATTCTCTAAGTTATGCACAATGGTAAAGGTTATGCAATCAGCTTTCCCGTCTCTTGACCAACGACGTCCTTGGAAACCAAAGAAATATATACACACGGAAGAGAAGTCGCATATGCAGACTAAGCAACATTTCAAGCTTGACAGGGGGCAAAACTTAGCAGATGAAAGAATACTCATGCTTTCAGTTTGGACTTATCAGCTTTTGTTAAGATTTTGTACAGGTCCTTCCATAAGTATTTTAAAAGCAGATAAGAAAGCTTTCCATAAGTATTTCTGATCAAGTCTTCAAAGCCTGAAACCAAATAAATTAAACAGAAAGGAAGTCATGTTGAGATGTGTTCAACTTCTCTTTTCGTAAATTGTAACTGATTCTTGATCAGATGATTCAGATTTAACCGAGGCTACTTTTACAATTTCGACATGCATCTAACCATTTCCCCCCTTCCCAATGCTTTTTGGCGTAAAATTTTGATCTATCGTAGTAATAACCTTTTATTTCCTCATGAATTAGTTGGGCAACAGTTGCACATGCACAGTGCATATGATTGCACGACCATAACTCAAACAAACATCCATTCTGTTTAGTTTCTAGCTTTGTGGACTCATTGAACACTTTGAAACTTTATGTCGAAAATGGTAGTTTCATTTCCTTTCATTTGAAAAAGACCCATATCGCCAAAGATCCTTGAAATACAATTCCCACCATATGCTTCCCCATTTTTATCAGTCGACAACAGTGCATTGGCCAATTTAGTCTGCAATGGCACAACTCAGTAGGATATACATACATACAAACTTTCATAATAGACATGTCATGGTA